AACGTCTCACGCCCTTCTTTCTCCATGGTCGAGGGAGTATGCACAGGGCCTTTTGGCCAGTGTCCATCTTCTATCACCCACCTCATCCAATCACCCATCATCTGCTTTCGAGCTTTGCGTGCTCACGTAACAGGAAAAACCAAATTTTCTCTGGAACACCTGCTGCTGCAAACCGGCTAGTGAAGTCCAGCACCCAGTCAAACAATCCAGCACCTTCGAAAACAGCTTTCTTGATGACAGGGGGGGAGCATCGGCATGAACTGAACCGACCAGGCCTCCTGGATGTATACCTCCATGACCTTCGAACTTATCCAGCGACCCCTGCGACGGGTCATTTCAGCATTTTCGCTGGTCATCAACATCCATGTAGCTCCCCCTGCCCGGAGGCTCCCCAGATCGAGGCCTCCGGGCAGGTTTGCCAGACCAACAGCTTGCAGTAACTTTTGAAAACGCAACCTCATGGTTTGTCCCGACATTGGCCATAGTCTGCAAAGAGGATCGAGTCCTCCAAATGCCAACACCAAAATCCGCAGGAGCTGTGGCTGATCAAGCCTTGCTACCTGATGTCTAGCAGCCCTGAAACGTGTTTTAGGTTCAGCTATCTGGAGTAGGGCAAAGTCGGTCGAGTTCTCCACGTCCATGGGGAGGATCAACTGCTTTCGGGTTGCTATCAAAACTTCTCCTATCCTGCTCAAACTGCCCCAAGAAAGGGCGATCACACCTGCCACCCTGGTCCAGCCCCAACTCAATGCGGTTGACAGGATGCACAACAAAGCAGGCCATGGTAAGGCGAGGTGGTGTGTCGGTGGTTCCTGTCTTAGCCAGGCATATCCCAGATCTCAGGCCTGTTGCAAAGACCTGCGGATCCGGGGGCGTTTCCCCGAAATGGCATTGATGGTTTCAGCATAATGGTTGTATGGTCGGCCAGCTCGAAAAATCTCCCGGCCGTACTTTTCCAACAAAATGTTCAAGCCATCAACATTTGGCTCTCCAACAAAAAGCAGCTCGTCAAGGCTCCATCCTTGGTCGTGCAACCAAGCATCAAACAAACTCAGAAGTCGATCTCTTTGCTTTTGCGTCACCGGAAGGACTGGTCGTCCTTGTGGCAGCTCAAGATCAGTCCTCAGTTCCGCCCGCTTGCGGTCTTTTGCATCACGAGGCTCCAATGGGCGTCCATGGCGCGACCCGGCAGCTACACTACCTACGGGGTGCAAGGTACCAAGGAGCAAAGTCCAAAGGAGAAGGAAGCAGATGAACCCATTGCGGTGCGAGTGAGGCAAAGTCACGAAGCTTCGTCCCTTTGAGGAGACCGGATGGCAGCCAATCTTTGGAGGGAAAGCCCCAAAGAAGAGAGCTCTTGAGGCAGTGAGCGTCGTTTGCCAGAGAATGCCAAGAAAACCAAAGAGCCAGAGAAGGCTCTTATGGAGCGGGAAAAACCCAAATGAAATCCAGCCTGGCGGGAAAAACCCACACAAAGTCCAAGTGCGAGGGGGAGGTCCCTCTGAAGTCCAATCTCGCGGGAAAAACCCAAACGCCCTGAGGGGCTCTGAGACCCAAGCATGAGGACGCTTTGAGGCATTGCCGGCCGGCACATTCTGCGGAAGCTGTCTGGAAGCGTGACCTTCTGCTTGTCTGCGGGCAAGAGATGTAGTCTTATCAGGTGCCTCATCAAAACTGAAACCACAGGACAAAAAAGCCACGTAGTGGAAGACGACAAAACCTCCTCCGTGACCCTCACCCCGATACTCCAGACCAGCATTGAAGTCCGTGGTCTCGAGTAGGATGATCGGCTGGCAGCATACGTGTAGGTCCATAATGGTAGCCTGGGTATAGGGCTCCAACGATTGTAGTGGCACCCGCCTTCCTGAGGGCCTTCCTCAGTCCTCTGGATGGAGAACGCCCTTTCACCAGCGCGGACAGCCCAACGTTTGAATCCATCACAATCACGGGCCTGGATTTGGGCTGGGCAACTGCCAAGCTCTTCAACAAATGTACAACTGTCAGGGTCTCCTGAATGTTGATGTGAAGAGGCTTCTTCCATCTCCAAACGGCATCTGTTGACCAGGCACCATCAAGCAGCACGTCATTGCACAAAAGGTTCTCGAGGCCGCCAACTGATGGTTGTTTGGCGAGGGATGTCCTCAGCTTTGCCTTGAGTGCCACATCAAAACATCCAGCCCACAGCTTCAGCAAGTTCATCTGTGTAGGTAGCCGAAGGCTTGGTGTATTAGCCTTGAATAGGAATGTGCTCGTGGTCTCTAGAGCACTTTCGATGGAGTGACCTGCCATCCATACTTGTCAGCAAGAAGACAAATTCCTTCTTGTGTGGTGAACCATACTGACATGATGCTAGCCAGACCTCATACGCCACCCCTCGTACCAACAAGGAGGCCCATTCAGCCAAGCTCCTCATCTTGCTCCTTCGAGGCTGCTCCAAAAGGCCTGGAACACATAGGTCTGCAGCAAGTGCCATCAAACTGAGTGCTCTTAATGCCAACGTAGTGCCCAGCAACGTCTTTTGCTCCAAAGGATCATAGCCTCGAGGACAATCATATCCACGGCTTGCTGGATGTTGTGCAGGAGAAAAGGTAGTGCAAGGAGGCTCTACCATGAAGGAATCCAGGAGACCGGCCTCAATAAGGTAGAATAGCCAGCTCAAGACCCGAAGATGGGCAAAGTCAAAATGCGGAGACCTGTCAAGATCAATCACAGGGCCCACAACCCAACCTCTGTCAGCCAGACGTCCGGAAATCTTTCCTGCACCTCCACAGACCTCAATGAAGTGGTACCGGAATCTCGGGGTGCAATGCTTCTTGAACATCGCTCTGCTCCTCAAACTCCTCACGCATCCAATCCAGCTTTCTCACCACTGCCTCCTCTCTGGAAAGCATCCTAGAATAGCTGGTCTTACTTCTCCGCGTCCTCCAAAGAACTCTCATAGTCTGCCTGTCCAAGCACCTCGACACTACGGCTCCTTTCGCATCTGAGGAGTCCGTGGCATAGATCTTGGGCAAAAATCTAGCGGACAGGTCAGTGCAGAAAAAGGGGCAAAGCTCTGCAGCAAGCAAGACCTCCTGAGCTGCTCTTCTAATCAGCTGAAAGATTTTTGGCTTTCTCTGGCTAACCTGATCTGCAGGGCAGACATTGTACACCTCAGAGAAGATGGACATGGTGGGCCTCCTGTAGAGCATTGCATTTGGTCCAACGGGCACATGCTAGCCTCATCGAAACGTAGGACAGAGCAAGCCTCTTTGTAGCAGGACTCCCAACAGAGGTAAGACCTCGAGCACGAGTCTCAGGACTTGCATCAATTTCAGCTCCTGTCACCTTTGCTTTCTGCGAGTCCCACAGGTCCTTGTCAGGAGAGCCCAAGAGACCTTCTGCCTTGTAGGCCGCAGTAGCTCTCTTCATGTGCATTGTGGCTCTAGATAGGTCCTGGTATGCAGCCCCGTCAGGGTCGTACACCGGCAAATTGTCATCCTCGACTGAAATGCAGTAAAAGTCATCAATGACCAGACCACTTGCAACATCCGAGCCACGGAAGCACCTCCCAGATTGTAGTTCACATTGTCCAGGAAAAAGTCCCTTTTGCAGCAAAAAGGCCCGATGGGCCTCTGTAGCAAACTCAACCCCCAAATGATCACCTTGGGGCACGCTGTTGATGCAGATCTGGAAGAACGGAGGGATGTCTTTCCCCTTCCTTTTCTGGCTCTCTTGGGCCAGCAGGAAGTCTCCATGTTTTGTCCTATCATATCTTTGGCCTCGATGATTTCTCAGCACCCAACTTTTGAACGCAGCAGTCCCTTCAATGGCTGACAGAGTCACCAAAGGAAAGACAGCATTTGAAGCGGCTCGCTGCTCAGACACCTTCATCTGATGGTAGAAGTCCCGGCGATCTGAAGCACATATACTCAGTCTCTGACAACCAGGGGAAATCTCGAGGTCCAGGAGACATTGGGCTGAAGGCAAGCATCTGGAGGCGGAGACCAATCTGCCTTCAACATAGTTTCTGGCCCGCCGATCGCCGATCATCCTGTCAGTGGTTGGGTTCTTGTAGTTGTTGAAAAAGCGCATGGAGAGGTGCATGTTGTCTTCTTCGATAGGCTGGTTCCGAAGAAAAAGCAAACCACGAGCATCCCACACCAGCGCTAACTCACATGTATGATCCAGCCTCTCCTTCTCTAAGTCCGGCGAGTCCTCGGTCTCATCCAATGTCCAGAGAAGAGTGGCAGGCTCCTGGTAGGCAATCCAAAGTCTATCTGATAAGTAGGGAGATGGGTCCCAAAGAGCATTCCCGTAGAGGATGAGCCGCGAAGGATCCAAAGCGCGATAAGGCCTCAATTCCTCAGCTTTGCTCAAGTCTCTGTCTACAACCACATTGTCATAGCCAGGAGCCCCTTGAAACGTACGAGAGTATGGGTCGCCACCAAGACATTCTTTGTCAAAGAAGTCAGACAAATCATCCAGTAGCGACACCAAAGTAGGAAGTCTACGGCCACCCTGAGGTACAAGGAACTCTTCCCCAGGGCTACCGAAAGCCCTCACCACCGCCCGGAGATACTCTACTGTAAAGCCTCTGCCTGTGATCTTGTAGGTATCCTTGTCATGGATGCCAGAGCGGAACAAAGGAGCAGTCTGCATGCCAGAAGTTGAGAGCCATCACAATCACATGGAAGGCCCGGTCAAAGCTCAACTTTCTTTGCTGACGCGACCCACACTTGGTGTGTCTGAAGATCCCAGGTTTTGGCACAGGTAGTGGAAAAGGGCTTGATCAGCTGCTGCTTCATGCAAACTGTGACCATGGAGAGTAGATCTAACGAATTCTGCCAAAGGTGTCCTTGAAGACAGCACCTGCTTCAGCAATGAAGCCGACCAAGTGGCAAATGAAAAAGTCCTCTTGCTCCAAGGCGTAGAGCTTGAGGTAGACATCCCTTTCTTGCACGAGGGATTTCCTTCGCTGGCAGCCTTGCAATGAAGATCAAATGCTCCATCGGAACTGAGGCCGGAACAAAGCGAAGGTGAAGCTTCTTGTTTTGTGTCATCACGACTTGTCTTCCTGCCTTTCACTGTTGGGCTTCTCCTCCTTTTCCTTTCTTTGCATGGCGAGGCGGTTTCTTCTTCGGCGCCTCCTCCTCTCCTTTGCCCAGGTTCGTCTTCTTTGTGACCAGACTCTCTTGTCGACGGGAATTGATGAGGTCCACTTCCTTGACATAGGCAAGTGCCACTGCTGCCCAATCTGGAGGACAAAGTGCGGCGAAAGCCCTCAACCTGGGGTTCGTAGCAGCTGGACGAGCCTGGAAAACTCCAGGCGGAGGGTCCTCCTGAAGGGACAGAAGCCATGCCACATCCCATTTTCCTCCGTCTTGTGCGGCCTGCTCGACAGTGACGAGGGTCAGCGCTAACAGCTCTTGTGCCCCTTTGTAATCTGCAGCCACCATCTGATCGGCTATGTGAGCCAGAAGCCACATGACCAGACCAAAGTCCCTTTGTCCCTGAAAACCTCCACTCTTCTCCATGTACTTTGTGAAAAGCGACCTCCCTTGGAAGTCCGCAAGACTCAAAGGCACTGGATCTGAGGGCTTCATCCGGCGGAAGGCGTTCTGGGTAATCTTGAGGAAGAAATCCCCCTTCCTGCCTGCAAGCTCGCTGATCAGCTTCTCTCTCTTGGTGGATCCTCGTAGTGAAAGAGCAGTCGAACTCGTGGCTCCTCCAAGATGTGGAAACCATCGTTCGAAGCAATCTGTGACACGAGCACGTCCTCTGGAAACTTTGAGGCGTCGGTCTGAGCTGGCGCTCCTTGGGCAGGAGTCTTTACTCTGGGGGGGACTGCCAACATGCTGCAAGAACCGGCTGGCATTGGGTGTCTGACCACCTTTCCCAGCCAGAACGAAGGGCTGGCGGTGTGCTGGCACGGCGAGGGTTGCAACAAGGGCTTGAGCAGGAGCAGCCAAAAGTGATTCGACCTTCTCCTGCCTCTTTTCCATTTGTGCAAGCTGTGTAGATAAAGCAGGGAGACTTGATGCTAATCCTGCTAACTGCTCTGCTAGCACTGCTGTTGTCACCCTCTTTGCCGGGGTCGCAGCCTTCTGCTTGGACTGCTTCGTAGTCACCGGAGAAGATGGAGCCCCCTCCATTGCAGGCTGATGTGCCTCGTCGGCGGAGTAGAACTGCACCCTGTCGCTTGCTCCGGAAGCCTCTACCCACTGCAAAGCCCCTGTGAGCAAGGAGTTTGGCTCCGGGTAGATGTCGATGTTTTCCTCGCAGAAGCACATGATCCCCGGACCCTCGGTGACAGGATCGAATCCCCTGAGACTTTCTGCCACTGATCCATGAAAATCTACCAACAGCACTTCGACATCGAAATCCAGGGAGACATGGGCACCATCTTCCTCCTCCAAAACGGCCGGAACGCTCAGGAGATGAGAGGGCCCAACAAAATCTGCCTCTCCAGCAAAACCGCCTGCCTCCAGCAGGTCTGATGGAACAAAGCCCTTCACTAGAGCTAGCATCACGCCGCCTGTCCTTGAAATGACAGGAATTGTAAAAGCCTCGACTGGACCAGCACCATCCCCGGCCTCGAAATCCACTCTCAAGACCAGGGTTTGGAAAACGTCCTGCTCCAACCCTTTCCACTCTCTTCTCGCAGTCATTGCTCCCAAGGATCAGGGAAGCGCACCCCTGCTCCAATGCAATAGACCTTCCCCTCAGCCAGCGATGGGAAGGAATGAGAGATAGAGTCCTCGAATCGTGACACCAACTTGAAATAATCAGCAGCACAAGCCACACGAGTCGGAGCAGCGATGGACTTGGCCTTGAGGATGATGTAGACCTGAGGCTTGAGGTAGGTCGGGAGCTTCCCCGTAGGCCTCGGCTTGGGCACCTCAGCGTCCAAAGCTGCACGAGCCCAACAACCAGCAATCCAAGCACGATCAGCCCTGTCTCGCACGTCCTGCACCGTGCCTCCAAGCCGAGAGCAAAGCTCAATGCAATGTTCAGGAACAGGAGGAATGCGAGAGGCCACCAACTCGTAGGCCTGATTCGTAGACAGACCGGAGGCCGGAGCTGGAGCAGCTGAAGAGGCGGCGTAGTTGGTGATGTCCCAGTCAATCAATGGTATCAGTGTGCACCTCCTGTTCAGGATTTGAGGATCCTGGAGCCCACGAAGCCCGGTTTGCAGCAGCCTCGAGTGTGTCTGCAAGAACTCGCAGAGTATTTGCCGCAGCACGAGTAGCCTCAATCAGATTGCCAAGAGCGGTCCCGCTCATGAAGATACGCCCCAAGGCGTAAAGAGGATGGAGTGGCCGATCGAGGAAGGGGCCGAGAGGAGGGGCTTAGAAGCCCAGAGTAGAAAACCCAAAAGGCGAAAGCAACGGTGCAGAGAGAGCACCGAGACAAAAGCCGGCAAGGAAGAAGGCAAAAAGGAAGGGCCCGGATGCACCGCAATGAGCAGGGCAAGCTAAGCCGAACCAAGAGGTACCCGCACCCCAAGACACAAAGTGAACCAGATCGGCAACGACCTGATTCATGAAGCTTGAAGCCACAAAAGAATTGCAATCGACGTTACAAGATCATGTATATATTCGCCATAGTTCTAAGTCATGTCCAATGCCGCCAAGATACCCATGTGGTCTTCACGACTTCGTGACGTCTCAACACTGCGATGACCAGCGGGTCGACGTTGCCCGTCAACATTTCGATATCAGGAAAGTTGAAGCGATCATCCAAGGAATGGAAGCGCTCCTAGGCTGGCAGCTGCACAAAGCTATGCACAAGACCAGCGGGAAAAAAAAACAATAGGCAAGGCGTTGAGACCGTCAAGAACCGTGCAACATCACAACCAGGTCAAGTGACATGCAGCTCACAAGCCACAGTTTGAGCCTTCTTGTAAAAATAGATGGGAAGCCGCTTAAGGTAAGCAGTGTCCTGCAGTTCACTCCTACAAGCCTCATCAACCTTCTGTTTAAAGCAGGCTGCTACATACTGTACTCCATAGCCCCTGATCCCAGTCTGGGAGAACACCTAAAACTGAGTGTAGCAAGCCTGCTACAATGCATCCACACAATATTCAGCGGTCACTTTTGCTGCTTCTATGTGCCTTCAAAATGTTCCCTAGAAAATGCGATGCAATGAAAACATACCGCCGGCAACAGTCTTGCCTGAAAGGCAGTCCTTGGTGCAGCTGGCACAGGCTGACATCTACATAGATCCGTTCCAAGTTGTATCTTGTGTACCCCAACACAAAATGGCCTGTTGCTGCAAAGGCACGGAAACGTATCTGCCAAATCTTGGATAAGCTTACCAGCTGCGTGCGGATCGCCACGGAGTTCTTCCAGAAGGGACATGATGTATTCAGCCAAACTCCTGTACTCGTCAGTTCCCGCTGAGGTTGTCCCATTGGCCCTGCACCCTCTTCTTCCACCATATTGCAGCCGGGCCGCAGCCGAACAAACAAGTGTAAAAAGCTAACCAAAATCAGTTGAGGGTAGGCCTACTGGATCTTACTCTTTCACTGCGAGCTCCACCCGTTCAGCCCTTTCATCGGTGCTCATTGTGGTGTCACATTCAGTGACACGTGAATCACATCTAGCTACTGGTAGCTTCTTGTTACTAGTAGCGATGGCCTCCAGCCTAATAGCGATGGCCCCCACCTAATAGCTTCTAGCTACTAGTAGCTTCTTGTTACTAGTAGCGGCCTCCAACCTAAAATTAAAAGTGATGGCCTCCAACCTAATAGCAATGGCCTCCACCTAAGAGCTTCTAGCTACTAGCAGCTTCTTGTTGCTAGTAGCGATGGCCACAAATTTGGCTTTCTAGAGTATGGTGTCATTCATGGCCGCCACTCATGCACTCATGGAAGGTCACGATACCTCTGGGCTAGGCTGTGGTTGGTCCTGTTCTATCAAAGCCTGGTACTACCTTTTTCCCTGTTCTGACCTGTGAAGGTATACAAACATACACAAACACGACTAAACCACCCGCTAGCATGCATACCCTATCCATTATTATCAAAATTGCCTTTGAAGAAAGGATCTCCTTAAGGTACCACTACGTCACTACAAGACACCGCAAAGTGATGTACTGAACTGCATTTGTTTTGGGGGGCTTTGCTGGCCAACATTTTGCCTGATATAACATTGCCCCTTCTATCCACAAAGTTTGAAGGAAGAAGTACAGCGAAGTCCAAGCGCATTCCAAGTCAGCACTTGCAGCAAAGTGTCGGCACGTTCTGTTTGATCAGATTCTCGCCAAGCTCATGCACGACCTGGTCATGGTCATGCCCCTAACCTAACTTATTCAACACGACAAACGCCCCAAGCCAATTATCCAAGACAGGCGACTGAATGCAGTTTGCTCACAAACCTGAGTTACAATGACAACATCTGATTCACTTCGGTTATGGTTCAAAGGGTTTAGGCTTTAAGTTAAAGCATCTTTCATCTAGGAGACTGTGTCAAGTGATCCGCGTGTTCAAGTCGAAAGTGCATGGCCACAGCAGTGTGGCTCAAGTGGAAAAGCCATTCCTCGAAGCGTTGCTGTCGATGAAGCAGCGTCGCGGCTGAACTTGTTTCACATGTGATGCTTCTAGATATCACGTTCTTTGCAAGCGAGCAGCTGCCTTCAACTCTGGACACATTTGCGACAAGCTCTCAATACCCTGTTTCACCTCAGCGGGTTCTCCCTGGATACCCTCAAGAACGTCAAGTTGATAAGCTAAAGAAAACCTTACGTTCACTCGTCCGTTTCACAACTCATCTCCAACTTCTGGGAGAGGCTCCGTTTCCCAAGCGCCCTTTCCATGGTGGCTGCGTAGCTCATCTCGCCAACTGGCACCAAAATCCAATGCGCCAGCCAAAACCAACATGGCGGCTTCCTGCGAGCGGACAAGCTCTAAGTCCCACAGAAAGTGTGTAAACTCTTTTGCACTAGTGGCACTATATAGTGCACTAGAGTTCAGTAGAGTACATACATCTCTTCCGTCCAAGTCCGAGTGAAAATCCAGCCACCGTCATCGTCCTCCTCGAGTGACTGGGGCACGCCCGAGGCAATAGGGTCCTCGGAAGATTGTGTGTGCAACCCTTGGAATCATAGGGAGCTGCGAGCCTATTTTGTTTTTCTCATGAATGCAGGGGAGTGGGCGCCTTCTGGATGTACCTGCTTAGTTGTGGCGTTCCTAGGCACATCCCATTCTAAATCCAGGCTGGTGAGGTGGAGGTAGGTCGGCAGTCACACATCTTTTGCTTTTCCTGCATTTTGAGCCTTGGAGATCTTTGAAGCCCTATGGAAACTTCCTTGGGATTTGAGATCTTTTGATGCTTGGACCTCGCTGCATATGATACCTCGACCTCTTGCACTTACTTATATAGACTTCTTCAGGGCTACGGGATGAGAAAAAATGTGCTTTCGTAAAGGCTTAAATTCCCCCCTTGTCTTGTGCAGCCCGGCGATGTGATGCTGGCTTGCCATCGCACATACATCCTCAGTCGAGCGTTGTAGCACAAGACGCATGAAGGAGCTAGGCTAGATAGCGCACTTGAGGTTCATTAGACATACAAGTATGTGATGGGTGCAGTCAAGTTTCATGGAGGTCCAATGCTGCGGTCAAGTTGGCAGCATTGATGCGGCTCGCCCAGGCTGGAAGGCTCATCGCTGAAGCCTTACTCACCCACCCGTGAACTCCGGGACCCTAATCCTCCAAGCGAATCAAGGAAAACTTGTTGTAGCATGGTAAATTGACGATAAGGCCAAAAAAAAGCGGCTCTCCGTTTCCTTGCCTCAGTAAAAGGAAATAGAGTCAGTCCTCCGCAAAACCAGAAGAAAAAGAAATTCACAAATATATATATATATACAGTATATATATATATGTATATATTTACACACACACACACACACAAACTCTTCGGAAAAGAAGAAACTAAAAGAAATATACAAAAATGGAGTAGTCTTCAGGCTTCTTCTTTGTTCTTCTCTGGTGAAACACTTGCCGGGGCAAAGAAGGAGCTCAGCTTACCCTCTGGACCCTGCAAAGCAACCACATCTTGCAGCGCACATGCAGAATGCCGGGCTCGTTCATGACATGGCATCGACGACATATGCCTGATTTTCGTGGAAAGCGTGGAAAACATGGAACCTGCATGTTTGGCGGCGCATTATTGCACGAGTTAGAGGGATCCTCAACTGAAACACTCCCCTCAACTCGGCCTGAAGTCTGGCAGCTCTTCGACATCGCGCCATGCTCCCAAAGACGGAGCCATGGCTCAAAAGTGCTGCTTTCCTATGCTACTAGTAGTTTCTTGCTACTAGTAGCAATGCCCTTGTTACTAGTAATGCCCTTTCCCATGCTTTCCCTGCAATTTTGCTACTTCAAAAAAAGAACGGGGTTTACAGGCATGGTTGCAAGATGTTGGATCTTTTCTCGCATCAAGTTTGCCTGTGCGAGCTAGCATCTTCCCGGAAACATGGAAGGATTGTTCCAATAATTCAATGACAGGCTTTCCTTGCAAGATGGTGGAGGGTCGATGGCAAACCTTTGCCCAATATTGAGCACACTCAAGTATCATAGCTGCAAGGCAATGACCTTCAAGGCTTAGCCCAACAACTTTGACCTCTCTTTCAGCGCACTTGCTTTTGTCCCCCTTCAATGCCATGACATCCATGAAATCAACGCCGTGACATCCATGACTTGCGCAATTTGCGCTCGGAAAAGCCATGCACTTGACTGGCCTGGCTGCCTGGCTAGTGCCAATAACTGATCATTGGTCTTTCGTCAAAGTTAAGTCAAATCAATCTGAACATAAGGTCTTGCCGCAGGAGGGCATGCTGCAAATTGGGTCGGGATCTGATTCACCTTGGCTCGTTGGCTCGGCAAATTGGTTGTTGGGAACGGTTGAGCTCCCCACAGGGACCCTGCCGCAAGATGCAGCCTGGCGGGCACGCAGGTAGAGATCGAAAATGTGCTCAACACACTAGCCGATGCACGCCTGCGGATGACCATACTGCACGGATGCTGGCGGCGGCCAACCGGCACAACCAGAATTCACAAGCAAAGGCACCTTTCAAGTGCAACGTCATCTTCATCGTCTTCATCCTTTAAGACCTTTTTTGAGTGAACATGGCCTGGCCCATAGACAACTGCTGTGGCGAGATCATGCAACCTGGCGGCAAGTCTGAGACACTCGGAAGCGCATTCTCCCCGGTAAAACTCCACGAGATGGAGTATGACATGTGAGAGAGAGGTCCCTCTCTGTCCAGATTCTGCTTGGCAAAAGCACGGGAGCATGCACCAACCCATGCCACAAGCAGTCAGAAGCGACACGGTCCAGAGATCAGCGGCGACAACCGACACCCAAAGCCGAATCGCCTTTTGTTTGACAAAGTTAGGCCGCAAAGTGATACCCCCCTAAAAAAGTACTCTGAAGCACTCTGAAGGAGAAATCCCGAAAAGGAAAATCCGAAGCTGATTCCAAGTCCGGTGGAGGATCCCTATAACCACTCTTCTAGAGCCAACCTCCTGGAGAATGACGGCTAGGCTGCTGAGCCATGGTGCCACCCTGAATCAGCAGTCATTCAGCATGCAAGTGAGAGTTCTACGTATAATTGACTAGTACTCTGCAAGGGCGGTCGCATGCTGTGAATGATTCAAAGTTTCTTCATTGGCATTCAGTCTAATCTACAAAGAATATTGCCACGTCCGCTTCTGCTCTCAGTCTACCAACCTGCTAAGCTAAGCATCCTGCAGGCACCATCTGTTGTGGAGGAAGCATTGCCCTTGGCACTTCTGGCCCGCCAGTCCTCACAGGTTGCCGTCATCTGCTCCAATCCATACTTCCCAGAGAGGCACTTCGTTGGGATTCCAGGTCATTCTTGACATGGGATTCCTATGCCTTCGAAGATTCAAACATCATTCCTGTAGAACCTGTGCGTGCTGTGGTTCCAACGCCTTCCCGTCATGGTGGCTCTTTTGGATCTGTCTGCGGCTGCATGAGCTGCTTCAGCTGCCTGACGAGTGTGCGTGTGTGCGCGCGGGTGTGTGTGTGTGTGTAACCCTTGGAATCAG